AAACGATTCCCTGAACTCCTGCTGCATTACTCAGTTTCGTAGTGATGACATCCATCGAAGCATCATTGATGAAATTAAACAGTGTGGACGGGTATGAGTGGTCTAGGGTCTGGTCACCGTGACTTGTCCCGCTCTGTTTTTGTGTGGGGGTCGCCATATTGGTTTGCGTCGTTCATCTCGGCGTACTGCAAGACCCAAACGAAAACACTTCTGGTAAATCAAGCTGTAGTGTCGATTGAACCAGTTTTTTCGCGGACGTCGGTGGCACAGAATCCAGTGGAGAACCGGGTTCTTTTTTTTTTCTCACTGCTGCTCCACGTGTGTAAATGTGTTCAACTTTGACATAGTAATTTAATTTTTTCCCCTTGTCACTTTTCGTTTAAATACAAATTACATACACCTACGTTACATGGATTAAATAAAATTTACCGGACCCACTGACTGACTGGACAGGGTTTATGGGTTTATTACTTGTCATAAAAGTGAACTCTTGCCAGTAGTCGTATTATAGAAGAATACATTCTCTAATTACCACCTGCCACAGGGGATCGGTCGTTTGGGATTGTGCTCAGAGATGGAGTTATGCAATTGGTGTTTTCACGAACTATCATGAAAATGTTAATAGACAATTGGTCATGTTCTTCACACACGGGCAGTTTGATGCAAAAAAACAAAAACAAATGAATCCCTTCCTAAATAAATCATAGTGTAACTAATTAATTTGGTCATTTACAATAAAAGGTGACTGAATGTTTAATACATTATTCATTTTAGATCACGTTAAATATTTTCAAGAGAAATCACTACACAAGTTCATAACACAGATGATTCCAGAGAGAAATAGTTTGTGAGATTCTAATTTATGAAAAGCATTAAATTCCAAAATAAGCAAGCCAATCTGGTCTCTAATGCTCAGGAATTATTACCACTAATATGACAACAGTTTAGCCCATAAATAAAACCAAACCAAGTGAAGCTCCCGAATGCCTGAAAACTACAGACAAATCTGCAGTCGCCTGCTGTTTAATGTATAAACGGCCTAATTTTTAATAACTATCAATTTTGAAGTTATATATGAGTGTATGCACACGCACGCACGCACGCACACGCACACACACACACACATGCGCACACACACACACACACACACACACACACACACACACCATACGTAATTTGTGAATTCTGTTCGGACGAAATAGAAATATCTAATTTGGTAAGAAACACTATATAAATTATCTTCCCTCACTCTGAGATAAGCATGACATTACTCGTTCATTTTTTAATAGTTTTATCTGCATAAAAGAGGGTATTATCAAAAATGTGAAACAAATTTCCGTGTACTACGATGTCACCAACATTGCGATATTGACCATGGAATAATGTTAAGTTCAGTTTGATTTCAATGTCCTCATTCACACATACCATACAAACTGACAGCTCAACACAAAACAATATACAATCAACCAAATCACTGCCTGTGCATACCACTTTGTTAACGAATCTCTTAGGTGTATTAGAGAAATGATCACAGCGCGACATGTCGAACCAACATACAGCTAAGCAGATTTAAAAAAAACTTACTTCTAGAGGCTGTCTTAACAGAATTGACTGATTTAGTCTCTACATCTCAATTCGCGTTCAAACCATTACCCAGTAATGCACATTTACAATAATACGTTCCCAATGCCATCATAGATGTATACACCTAGGACACGCTGATCTCTAAATGGATGTTAAACGCCCACGCATATTCCATCCTAAGCCACTGCAAACACACAGCATTGTATAGAAAATAGGTCAGGTATAGAGAAATCAAGCCAGGCAAGTGAGTTTCAACAACCAAAATAGAGACAAATACAAATACAAAGGAACCAAAAACGTATACACACAAAAACACACATACTTTCTGTCTTCTCGTCGGCCTGTATGTTGGCCTGTATGTCGGCCTGTATGTTGGCCTGTATGTCGGCCTGTATGTTGGCCTGTATGTTGGCCGGTGTGTTTCCCGGTGTGCAGTGCTTCAAGGTCGTGTGGGCGACCTTTCAGACAAACACAGCGGCTAGCGAAAGGTAAGTCCACATTTGGGCCGATTCTAGCATCTGTCCCATCTTCTGGATATCGAGACGGGTCTCTTCTTGTTCCTCCTCTACGCTTTCTATTTCCTCTTGGAGTTCGTTGAGAGTGGAATCGTCGTCGTCGTCGTACAGCCTAGACAAGATGTGGATCAACATAGTCGTGGTTTGCTCCGCACGAAAAAACAACATAGTCGTGGTTTGCCCCGCACGGGCCGCGATCCTCCCCAACCTTTTTTGTAGAAGTCCTGGATGGTGGGCGACGTCAGATTCGGAGCTATCTCACTAGCGGGCAAGAGGGTGTTGGTCGATGGTTCTCCTGCAGACAATACGGTTTTGTGGGAGGGCTCTCGCCATAGTTCGTAGAGCCTTGTGGACCGGATACCGAAGCGCTGTTTGACCTGCTGGGGGCACACCGCGAAGGGCGCGGATTTCTTGGATCTGGTCTGGAGACAAATCTCATTTTGGTGGCATAGGAATTTTTTTCTGGGTATATATATCCCATGCTTCCCATATGTCTATATGGAAATCCCATTTTCCGACATGCCTGGGGCTAGGAAACCCAGATTTTCCACATGTCTAGGACTAGGAAAACCTAGTTTTTCCATGTCTAGCACGATCAATTCAAACAGGCCCTATTTGAGACCCGCGCGTTCAAACACGAAATGAATGCGTTGAGAAGTGATAATCAGAGGATCTACAGGATAACCATAAACAAAACATCCTTATCACCCATGGATACGAAACGATGGTTGTTGATGGCGTCACGACTTATGGCTATGGACACCGTTGCATTACCCCCTAAATAAACAAGACACCTCCAATAATGTCTCTGGAGACACACTACCCTCTTTTTTTAAACCACCGCTGGGAGTTGAATTAGCCCAAAATCATGCTCTCAGGGGACCTGTTATACAGAACCCCCATTTACAATGCTGTAAAACGTTGACGACGCTTATGAAGATAGCGTAGGGACGTTACGAACGTTTACAGCGTGAAATCGCTCTTCCGTTCTCCTTTGGTGGAATTATGATCGGAAACCAAATGCGACTCGTGTTCATATCGATTTGTTTCAAACGGCTAAGGACGCTAATATTAGAGACAAAGAGCGTGACTCACGCCGCCCGAATGGACAATGAACCAACCGTTACGGCACCGTATCTTTTGGTGACGTCAAGTAGTTGAATGCCTCTGATTTGGTGGCATTATCATCGAAAACCAATCGCTACGACGGTCCATCAGCCCCGCCCCCGACATATATATATATATAATAATAATAATGTTTCAAACAGAGGTATATGCAACATATGCATATGATACTCATAGAGACACATTCATTAGTTTGCAACCTCAAATACATGTAGTGCAATTTGAGCGAGTGAGCGAGTTCAGTTTTTAGCAATACTCCAGCAATAACACGACTGGGTACACCAGAAATGGGCTTCACACATTGTACCCATTTGGGAAATCGAACCCGGGTCTTTGGAGTGACAAGCGAACGCTTTAACCACTAGGCTTCCCCACCGCCCCGTGATTTGAGCGAACATAAATCACCCATGGGAGAGGTAGTATACATTAATTGAATTTTAACAAGACTGACTGACTGACTGAGTTGAGTTTTACGCCGCTTTTAGCAATATTCCAGCAATATCACGGCGGGGGACACCAGAAATGGGCTTAACACATTGTGCCCATGTGGGGAATCGAACCCGGGCCTTCGGCGTGACATTTTAACAAGAAGTTTGTTTTCATTTTTCCCAGCTTATCATATATCCATTATTATTTTATTATTCTTGTAGGATATTTATATAGCGCACATATCCACGCACTAGTGCATGCTCACGGCGCTGGTATTTTTGTCCCCTCGATCATTGGATGTCAATCTCAACGGCACATCGCATTATCAATCTCAACTCCCTGTGGAGTATACAACTCTTGAGGCCACTAGGCGCACCGAGTTATTGTGGCTTTCTCATCCTAACGAGGTACCCATTCACAGCTGGGTGGACTGGGACACATAGTCACAGTACTTTGTCCATGTTCACTGCACGTTGCTGTACCCGCAACTAGGTGTTTGCACGTATTCATGTGGCCATCATCTGGTCAAATACCAACGGATTCGTGGGTTCTTTTAAGTGCACAGGGTTGTGTACTGTACACTAGGGGCATATTCAATTTGTTCAAATCCTTTATTGGAAACTGGTCACAGTGGGGAGAGTTTCTAGAAAATTGGGTTTCCAGATTTAAATTGAGACGTGTTAACTAAGTCATATTATATATCATACAGTTTGGTAGGAATTGATTATACCTGTGATTGTTGATGGCTATGCCCTCGACGGGGTTTGAAGTACTGTAAAATCCTTACATCTTACATCCACATCATTCACGGAATATTAAATCTACCAATGTTTGAAAAGTAGAATATTTGTCATTTTGATTTGATGAAATTAGGAACGACTCTTGCCTTGAATATAACTGTAGAACATAGCACTGTCCATATATCTTGGTGACTTGTTCAGTTGGCGTGTAAGATATAACTGTGTCGACATATTGTGCACATTTCTGCTACTATTACGTCAGAGGAAGTTTAGGTTTAAATCCTGTTGACAGTCCCTCAGCATGCTGTCCTAACTTTTGTTCCTGGTGATCTAAAACCCGAATCTTACAATAAATATGAATTTATTTTAGTCACATCATGGCGACGTGACTTAAACTTTACCTCAACTTCTCACCTCACATAAAGCATGTTTCACTTTCAACATATAAGCATTCCAAATATGCAAATAAAATTTTCTGATGAAAATAGAAGCTGTCATATTTATATATAGTTTCAACAGTCTTATGACACAATTACTCACGATGTGTCCAGTTGCACGTCAACTCGCGCTTTTTCTTATATAACGATTAACCGCATCGTGACTGCAAACTTGAGTTGCGTCACGAATGTGTTAACAATTTAATGGAACAGGCGACAAAGATCGTCCAACAACGCTGATCGTCCAACAACGCAGTCATCACTTCAAATCGGGTAAGTGGGCTTTGTAATATTTATATTGTTATATTTATAGATAATGTTACTTTGTGGGGTAGCCTAGTGGTTTAAAGCCTTCGCTCGTCACGCCGAAGACCCGGGTTCGATTCCCCACATGGGTAAAGGTGTGAAGCCCATTTCAGGTGTCCCCGCCGTGATATTGCTGGAATATTGCTAAGAGCGGCGTAAAACCATACTCACTCACTCACTCACTTTTTGTTGAACATGCCATATATTGTTGTACATGCAAAACCGTTCTAATTTGAAACATAAACACAAGTCTCGCGTATCTATTGAAACAGATTCCGGGGGTTGAAAGGCAAAACAGATATGAAATTCGTTCAGGGCGCGGAATGATCCGTATCCATCTGCTAATAATAATTTGAGGGATGTGCACACTCACTGTGGAAAGCGGGCACGAGCGTTACCGTCTTGCAAGACACAACTTACACCAGCATGTCGGGCAAACAACACAGCTATTGATGAGTGTATTTCAACTATTATTCATATATTTATTGATGTATATGGTCAGTTCATAATTTTCCAGAAAAATTACAGATAGGTGTAATCAAGCCTGTAAATAAAACCAAACCAAGTGAAGCCCCCGAATGCCTGAAAACTGCAGACAAATTACACCTCTGGGCTGTTTGGGCATATCGTTTAACCTCTATCCCAAATATTCGCTTACAAAAAAATATTCGCTTGTCGAATGAAACATTGTCAACCGAAGCTTATACAGGATTTGGAAAAGGATACTAACGATACGTTCGCCTTAGTTGGCTTAGCAGTACTTTCAAAAACAAGGAAAAAGAAACTATTCTGTGCCTTAACTGAGTTTCAAAAAACATTGCATATAGTCTGGCGTTCAGAACTTTGGCAGATGCTAGTTCAATATAATGGCACTGGAAAATGTTGACGGTAATTAATAACATAAAACAAAACACATAAAAACATGTGTTTCATGTTCTGGTATTGCCGCATTTTTAAATGTATTGGCGTTCAAATTAAAGCCAAGTGAATGTGATGATAGAATTGAGAATATCATTACGTTATTTTTGCTATTGTATTCAGATGGTGCAGTCCCCCTGGGTGCAAACAGGCAGCATTCACAAAATTTGTTAGATTCATTCATTAGGTATTGTGATAAATGGAGACTTAAGGTTAATGTGTCTTAGGCTAAAGTGAAGATATTTGGAGGATCCAAACGTGGTTATATACATAAACTTTAAATTAGTCAAGCCACTCGGTATCACCTGCAAAAGCTTTCGAAATTTACTATTGCAAAACAAAATCAAGTAGATTAGGCAACGAAGGCCAGGGCGGAAATTCATCTCTCTGTTGGTTGACAACAGCGCCTTTTTGACAGTGTGGCTGTATCAACACTTTTGTACGGCTGAGAGATTTTGGGCTTCGAAAATATACCGTTGAAAATGTACAACTCCGTTTTTGAAGTCTTTTACCTTACACAGATATCTAAAACATCTAGTTAAATCTAGAACTGTATGTTTGGGGGCAATATTACGATCTGGAAAAATATCAAAATTAACTCTCATCAAGAGCAAGCTGTAGTACGACGAAAATATATTAGAGAGATGCAAACATACTTTGTTAACAATTCTTTAAAAAACATTTTAGATGATCTTGGACTAAGTTACATTTTGCAATCACAAAGTTTTCAAAGTTACAAACTGTATTTTTTGGGTGACATTCTGCACACGCGCATCCTCTCCCCATGTTACATACCTACTAGACCCGGGTATAAACATCTGTATCGAAACGTCGCATTCCCGAAATAGAAGAATTTTTAGCCAACACATTTGTCATTATTGCACTTCGAAACTTCTAAAATGACACTGAAGGAAGCTGTGAGAGTTATTGTCAGGATACTCGCACATTAAACCAATCTTCTTGTCAGAGAATGACACTGGAACAAGGTTGACAGTCTCTGTTCCAGTGCAATACAGTATCATGCGTTAACTCATGCTTGGTTCAGGTAATTGTGAACAGAAGGACAATAAACCGCTAGACTATCTTTATCAGCATCCATTCACCTAATCTCATATGTTCTGCTTTGAATGTTCACGTTGACATATGTACATCACTGATTATTATAGATTGTATAGTATACAAGACTCTGTTCTGGCAATTAAAATGCCACACATGCGCGACAATATTTCAGATGTCACAATCCCTAAACGCCTGCGGTAAAAAGTAATAATTTATCACGGAACCTTCTTGTGGAACGGGAAGCTAGGGCTCCGACATACGTGAGTTGAATCAATATCACAGTTTTAGTGGTTACTATAGCTAGTCATTCTCCTGTCAGCTGTCGATCTTTTAGACTTTACAGTCCGGGGATTTCATTGAACATATACCGTCAACGCTAGAGTATACACAATCTCGAATGTGAGACAAAACTGATTCAACTGGGAGTACAAATCAAAACCATATATTATATGAATGAAAGACATTGAAAGACCTATCGCACGTATACATTAGCGTTACATGTACATCTCCATATTGGTCCTACAATTGTTATTTACAGAAAAAACAACCTCCGGTTAAGACGGGGGTTTGTGTTTGTGACACGACTCCCCTGTTTTGAGTGCAAGGCTAGTGTTTTAAACACTAATTAGTCTCGCAGATCTTACATTCATTTCAGTTCACGGGACACGTCAGAACATACATATACTCTTCACAAAAGTAAAGCGAAAGTGAAAAATTCTTATAAATTTAGATATGTGGAAACTTATTGTTACGAACGCTAAATATGCTGTGGAGCTTACAAAATGCATGTTAATCGAAAGAATCTTATGGAAATCGATGACTTTGTACACAGGTGGGTGAAAGTGAAAAATCGCAAGAACGTAACTGTCGTTTCGAGCCACTTACGCAAAGGCATGGTATGCACGTGCAAAAGGCACAACAAGCACTATAAAAGTGCAGGGTTCTCGATTTAGCTTCACTTCGGTTAAAAGTCTCAGCACAGATTTCATCATGCCAAGACTGAACGAAGCTCAGAGGAACAACGCCACCGGACGATTGCAAGCAGGCGAGTCCAGATCAGTGGTTGCGAGGTTTTTTAAATATCTCCCTTAGCAGCATATCGAGGCTACATCCGGTTGCGCCACGTACGTCAAAGGACGACAACTGCTGCCACCACTGCATCCTCAGTACCGGGACTGCGCAGGATCCCGGATCAGACTGTCCGGAATCGTCTACGAGAGGCAGGGTTGCGACAAGCCCGTCCTGATAGAGGCGTGATTTTGACCAGGCAGCATCGCCAACTACGACTGCAATGGTGTCGAGCCCACAGGGCCTAGCCTCAGGGACGATGGAGACACGTACGGTATGCTCTGCAAACAGGATGGAAGGGCCCGTGTCTACCGCCGAAGAGGTGAACGCTTCGCAGCAAATTGCACACAGGAAGTTGACAGATTTGGTGGAGAAAGTATCATGATGTGTGCAGCCATCTCTCACGACGTCACACGCGTTACTAACTGTACGTGACAACAAATGTGCAGTTGGTACATTCGATGAAACTCAATAAAGTCCCGGTTGATTTTGTATATATGTTAAACATTTCAAATTTCTTTCATTTATAGTTCATGTAGCACATGTCTTTGAAACATCCAATGAAATTCTGGCTTTGCGTTAATTTTTGGGAAGAGTAGATTTTGGGGTGGCGATGCTGCTTGATAATGATCATGTTGATCATGATGATCCTCAGAGTGAGTGAGTTAATATTTAACGTCACATCGGCAATATTTCAGCCATATCGTGACGAGAACATTTGATATTGAAATGAAATATATGTATATTAAAAAAAAACTGCCGACGAAGGACAGTAAAACAACTAGAATATCACAGATATGTATGTAAAACTAGTAATTAAATCTAAAACGTTTTAACTATAGGGGAAAAACAATACAGTATAAAAATGGGCTATAAATCGCCAATAACTGAAGTTAGATCACCATACCAGGGACCATGGGGACTTAAATTACTTTTGCTACCTGCATGGACCCTAGTTGGATTTAGACCATCCCTTCAGCCATTGGCGACAGAAGAGAAATCTAGCCATAAATTAAAAGCAAACATATTCTACGATTAAAAACGTGGCAAGCCTAAATTTACTCTAAATGTGTTGGGACTTACGTACCCTCTCAGGAGGACAATAATTTACAATACTTCAACCCCCTTTGAGGGTACAGCCACTAACAATCGAAGTTGATAATCTAAACTACCGATTATAAAACAACTGGAATATCACAGATATGTATGTAAAACTAGTAATTAAATCTAAAACGTTTTAACTATAGGGGAAAAACAATACAGTATAGAAATGGGCTATAAATCGCCAATAACTGAAGTTAGATCACCATACCAGGGACCATGGGGACTTAAATTACTTTTGCTACCTGCATGGACCCTAGTTGGATTTAGACCATCCCTTCAGCCATTGGCGACAGAAGAGAAATCTAGCCATAAATTAAAAGCACACATATTCTACGATTAAAAACGTGGCAAGCCTAAATTTACTCTAAATGTGTTGGGACTTACGTACCCTCTCAGGAGGACAATAATTTTACACTACTTCAACCCCCTTTGTGGGTACAGCCACTAACAATCGAAGTTGATAATCTAAACTACCGATTATAAAACCTTATCTATTTACAAAACATATATCAAAATTCATTTAACAGATCTATATCTTTTAAAAAATCAATGATTAAATGATAATTAACATTACTAAAAAGGTCCTTTACTGTTTTGACATTAAAATATCTATCCTTTATGATGGAGAATTCAACACAGTCAAGCAGGACATGTTTGACCGTGGTTCTCTCATCACAAGGGATACAAGTGAGTGAGTGAGTTAAGATTTAACGTCACATCGGCAATATTTCAGCCATATCGTGACGAGAACAATTAATTGGTACACATAGTAGGTAATAGTAAATTATAAAAGCCTGCCTACGAAGGACAGTAAAATA